CTGTCCGCTATCATACTGTCAATTCAGGTGGCTGTCTAGGGTCTAGGCGCCTGCTCCGGGGCAGTGACGATGGACAACCTGCTGCAGGAGCGAGGAACAATACCTCCCTCAACTTCATTTCAGCAGATAATCTGCTTGAAGCAGTCAAAGCGACGTCCACCAGGACCTTGCCCCACATCCCCAAGGCTGCGCGTCACCAAGCAGCAGCCATACTCACCAGTCTGCTGACAAAGGTCAACAATGTTCCCAGATCCTCTGAATCGTGGCACAATCTCCTTCTATTTGGGAATGCGTGCCTAGCATTACTGCCCAGGAGAGACAAGTCATTAGCAACCTCTGTAATCAGGGCACTTAATGAATTCCCCAGAGCAGACAACCTGGTCCGCCTCCCCCCTCGTGCCAAGAACACCAGCCGCAGGACGTCCAACAATAACTCATCTGAGAACCACAAAATGAGAGCACAGATCACCAGGAAAATAGAAGAGGGCAATACCACAGGTGCCATCAGAATCATGACCAGCGATGACACTATTGCCCCCAGGAAGGCCACGACAGTAGAGGCTCTTCAAGACAAACACCAACCCAGAGCCCCAGACAGCAGCAGGGATCCCCAGGAAAACAATGCTGGCATAGAACCCTTGACTGTTCGAGAATCTGAGGTGTACAAAGCAGCCATGTCTTTCCCAACAGGTTCAGCAGGGGGCTTTACAGGCCTAAGACCCCAGCACATCAAACAAATGCTGAACCCGGTGCTTGGAGATGCTGCAAAGGACCTTCTAGTGGAACTTACCAGATTCTCCAACATGTGTTTAGCTGGCGGCATCCCTGAGGACATCAGGCCTGTCTTTTATGGAGCAGCACTCTGTGCTCTAAAGAAGAAGGATAGGGGTATCAGGCCCATTGCCGTTGGCAACACCCTCCGACGCCTCATAGCTAAGGCTGCAGTCAGATCTATCAGCCAGGAAGCAGCCACCTTGCTGAAACCTCATCAGCTCGGGTTTGGGATCCCCCTAGGTTGTGAAGCTGCAGCACATGCAGCGCGGGCTTACATTGCTGATCTCCCGGACCAGAAGGCACTAGTAAAGCTTGACCTCAAAAATGCTTTCAATCAAGTCAGACGAGACGCTGTCCTCAGGGCTGTACACAACCATTTCCGTTGCCTTTACCCATTCATACGATCGTGCTACAGTGGGGACTCTAAGCTTCTTGTTGTGGAGCATGAAATAAACTCCTGTGAAGGTGTCCAACAAGGTGACCCTTTAGCACCCCTCCTTTTCTGCCTAGCTATCAAAGAGGTCACTGACAGTCTGACAAGCGAGCTAAACATCTGGTACCTGGATGATGGCACACTAGCTGGAACTCCGGAAACCATTTTGGAGGATATAAGGAAAATCCAGGAGCAGGGAGCAGCCTTAGGACTCATTCTCAATGCGTCCAAATGTGAAATAATCTCCCGCAACCCAGACATCACTGGGCAAATACAAAATGTTCTTCCAGACATTCTCGTTGTCGAGCCACCGGACTGCACTCTCCTGGGTGCCCCCATTGGCCCACGAGCAATCGAGGAGGTCCTGGCTGCAAAAATCACTGATCTAAAGAAAATGCTGGACAGGATTGACAAGATTGATGCCCATGATGCTCTCTTTCTCCTCACAAGGTGCCTGTCTCTCCCTAAGTTGACCTACTTTCTGAGATGTTCTCCATCCTACAGCAGCCCTAAGTTAAATGTGTACGACACCCTTCTGAGGTCCATGCTGGTGAAAGTCCTGAACCTGCCATTGGACGACTCTCAGTGGGAGCAAGCAACCCTTCCTGAAAGACTCGGCGGCCTTGGTGTCCGCACAGCCTCCCAAATTGCTCTACCAGCCTTCCTTTCCTCCTCCTACGCATCGCACGATCTCGTCAGAGATATCTTACCTGCAACCCTGAGAGATTCAGCAGGAATACACGATCCTGCTTTCACTTAATGTTCAAATCAGTGGGATGTTCTTGCAGCCCCAGCAACCATTATAGAGCCAACAAAACAACACAAACAGTCCGGCTGGGACCACCCTCTAGTGGAAAAAGTAGATGATGCCATGCTCAGCACCGCAACATCAGACAACGAGAAAGCCCGTCTCAGAGCAGTGCGTGCCCCCCATGCAGGAGACTTCCTGCTGGCAGTACCCATGTCAGCAATGGGCACGCACCTAGATCCAGAATCCCTTCGTGTAGCAGTGGCCCTCCGCCTTGGTGCCCCAATTCACACTGAATACAAGTGTATTTGCAACAGGGTGGAAGCAGACCAATACGGACTGCATGGGTTGCATTGCGGAAGCACAAAGGGCTGGCATGCAAGACACAACGAGGTCAATGACATCATCAAGAGAAGCCTCGTCTCAGCTAGGTGCCCAGCGGAGAGAGAACCTCGCATCCTAGGGGTCCAAAACCCGGATTTCGCTGCACTTCGCCCTGATGGCATCACCATATACTCATGGAAGGAGGGTAGACGGTTGGTGTGGGACTACACATGTGTATCCACCCTGGCTGACACCTATGTACACTTCGGAGCTGATCAAGCAGGTGGGGCAGCCAACCACAGGGAAACAGCAAAATCACTCAAGTACAGGCGACTGGAAGGTCAATACCTCTTTGTTCCCATAGCGTCTGAGACGCATGGCCCCTGGGGCAAGAGTGCCTTGGGATTTCTCAAGGAATTGGGTTCCAAGCTCATTGACGTCACCAGAGACCCAAGGGCTTCCAGTTTTTTGTTTCAGCGTCTCAGTGTGGCGATCCAGAGGGGAAATGATTGCTGTGTCCTCGGTTCCTGTCTGGAAGCGGAGGAGCTTCAAGAGATCCATAACCTTTAGGCATTTGTCTTGTATGTTTTGCAACCTTTAAATACACAATAAAGCAAAAAAAAAAAAAAAAAAAAAAAGGGAAGGGGGTGGTAGGAGAAAAGCACACAGAAACTGTATTGGAGGGGACCTATATTCCCTCCAATGCGTAATGTGTGGTTTCCTCCGAGGCTATGGGTCCCCCTTCTTCCAGCCAGAGGTGGTACTCCCTTCCCTATATATATATATATATATATATATATATATATATATATATATATATATATATATATATATATATATATATATATATATATATATATATATATATATATATATATATATATATATATATATATATATATATATATATATATATATATATATATATATATATATATATATATATATATATATATATATATATATATATATATATATATATATATATATATATATATATATATATATATATATATATATATATATATATATATATATATATATATATATATATATATAAATATATATATATATATATATATATATGTGTGTGTGTGAACAAGCCTGAATGGTCCCCAGGACTATATGCGACTGAAAACTCACACCTCAGAAGTAACTCGAATCCATACTCACAGGAGCAACGCAACTGGTAACTACGGGACGCCTTAATCCGCTTGCCCATCACGACCGGACAATTAGGAAGTGATAGACGAAGCTATTTGAACCACTTCCCCGCCGGCACTCGGATGGTAATCTTGGGCATAGCATTTTATCGTTGCTCCTGGGAGTATGGGTTCGACATCCCAGTCGAAACAACCATAGGAATGATACTGGACAGAGTATACAGAGACGAGAGCACCCCCAAATTAGACATACCTGAGACACACTTGAAGAGTCTACTCGAAGCATGTACAAAGGAAGCCCCTTTCATCAATCCACAATGAGACATGTATTTTCAAATAGACGGAGTAGCAATGGGCTCCCCCTTAGGAGTTTTATTTGCTAATTTTTATATGGGAACCATCGAAGACAGAGTCTTCAGTAGCAGACAAAAACCAACTGTATATTGCCGTTATGTAGATGACATATTCGTAATAATAAAAGACTCAGATGAACTAATTGATCTAAAAAGCCATCTAGAGAGAGAGTCAGTACTCCGATTTACACATGAAAATAGTGAAAATATCAGTCTGCCATTCTTGGATGCACTAATAACAAAAACAGGAACCTCTTTAAGCGCCAACGTATATACTAAGCCCACCAACATAGGATTGTGCCTGAACGGTAGAAGTGAGTGCCCCCAAAGCTACAAAGCCAGTGTTCTCAATGCTTATATTCGTCGAGCGCTTACCCACTGTTCTGAATAGAGCAACGTGAGTAGAGTGTTTGAAAGAGTAACATAGGTATTGGTGAGCAACGGATATAGCAACACGGAAATAAACGCTGCTATAAGAAGACATTTGGACCGTTGGTATAATCCTGAACCTTGAACAGAAACCACAATACTGCCAATAAAATTATATTACAAATCAACCATGCACAGTGAACATATCAAAGAGGAAAGAATAATGAAAGAAATAATCCGTAAAGGAGTAAAAAGCACTACTCCTAACCAAAACCTAAACCTGATGAAATTCTTCAAAACCAAGAAGACTTCCGAACTCCTTATCAAAAAAAGCCCGAAGCCTGTCGAACCAGTCCAGAAAATTCTTTTCTCTTGAGAATGAACCATGGAGGTTCGTAACGTTGTGCAAATTGTATAAATAAGTGTAATACATTCTATAGTAATTCACTTCTCTTCTTCACCTTGAAATTACGAAAATGAGTTTTGGAGAACTCCTATTTCAGCTAAGCCCTGATGCTAAGAAAATAGTTAGAGGGATAAAAGCCCTAAATCAGAAGATAGTAAATACAGAATATGCAGTCATATATTTATATATATATATATATATATATATATATATATATATATATATATATATATATATATATATATATATATATATATATTATATATTTATGTAATAAGTAATGTTGTTATCTGGCCTACATACAACACTTCTCGTAGCTCCTATCGGGCCTAACACTATAAACGATCCTTTGTAACAAAATAACGATCCTTAAAATTATCGAAGAATAAATTTGTGACATAGATGCTCCTGATTCTTTTAATTTTCTCACCTTATGTCTTTCACTTCCAAGCCTAATCTTCTTTTTGAGGTGTGCCCCATTACAATATCCTAAAGTGTTTAGAATATGACACCCTCTTGAAGACCATGCTAGAAAGAGTTCTCAACATTTCCCCAATGACTGCCAGTGGAAATAGGCCACTCTGCAAAACTCAACCGGTGGCCAAGTTGTCAGCACTGCCTCCCAAATTGCTGTCCCAGCACTCCTTTCTTCCTCCTCGGAATTGGATAACCTGGTCAAGGAAACTCTGACAGACAATATGGGTCACTGTTTGGGATACATGATCCTCACTATATGGAATGCAGCACAAAATGTGATCGCCTGGCATACCGAGCACCCAGACTAACTATTCTGAAAACCTACAAATAATCCAGCTGGTAAATCCCCAATGAACATAAAAAAACAACAAATGTGCTGAAGTCGATAACAGACCCCAGTCCTCCCACCTCACAGCTGTGCATGCAATAAACGCAGTAAATTTTCTTCTCGCAGTCTTTATGTCTGCAACAGGCACACATCTTGATCCACAACAGCTCCATATTACAGTTGCCCTCCGCCTTGCTGTCCTAGACCCACACTATATATAGGTGTATTTGCAGCGAGGCAGATGCAGACGAATACAGGTTGCATGGCCTGCACTGCTGAAGATAAGGAGGTTGGCACAGCGACATCATCATAAGGAGCCTTGCCTCTAGTCAGTGTACAGCAGAGAGAGAGCCTCATAATGTTATGTTCATTAATTCTAATGCCGTTGTTGGGCGACTTGGTGGAGCCTCCCTGCACCCGTAGAGAGGAAGTGGTAGACAATTGGCATAGAAATATACTTTTATATCCATCTTATCATGCACATACTTAGCCCTCTATGTTGGCTAAGCACAAGCCGCTGCTACACACAGAGAAAGAGGAAAACAAACAAGTACAGAGAAATAGATAACTGGTTCAACTTTGTCCTTATAGAATTCGAGACCTGTTGAGATCTGGAGGAGACAGATTATAAATCATAAAAGGGAAATTGCTGTAAGTGAAAGGGGTTGCTAATTTTTTCACAATGATCTCAAATACCAGATTATACCATCTTACCTATGGCACAAACCTGAGCGAAAAGAAATACCCATATGCACACCCATTCAATGCTATTGTTTCGTGAGGGATTTATGACTCATTAATAAGTATCGAACACTTACATAAATAAACAACACCAGATTTCTTGTCAACGGAAGTAATCTCTCTGTTTTAATTAATTCCCATTAGTGTAACTATTTTGAAAAACTAAAAATTAGTTTATGGATAAGAATGTCTTGGAATATTACAATGTTCCTTTCTAACATAATAGCTAACAATACCCAAATAAGGATATTTAACATTATAAATATTTTAAGGGACTTTTGTTTAACTTTGACAATAGGTTTAATTTTTATATTTAAAAAATTACTAAGAATTCTATGAAATTCTTTGCTTTGCTTTGCATATAAAATTTATTTGGATAAAAAAAAATCATGCAAGAAGTCAACCTCAATATTAAATAGGGAAAAATATGAGCAGAAATAGAAACTTCTATGCAGTAGAGTTTTAATTGAACTGAGTTTGTTTAGAACAAGAAAAACACATATAATGTAAAAATAGTCCGGTTATTGTTGGTTTACGATCAACGGAACCAAAGTCGAAAACTCACCACCAATATTTGTCTTTAATGTGTTAAGAAATTACATTTTGTTTAATTTTCTCATTTGCGAAAATACAAGTAAAATTTTAATGATTAGAATTCAACAAAGAAACGAACATATCTAAATGCGAGCGAGTATTAAAGATAAGAAAAGAATCACTAACATAACTATGGAAAAAAAGGTTTAAACTCCCCAGCACAAGTGTCTATACGCAGTTTCTCGAAATTATACAGGAAAACACGAGTGTGAGCTGGGCACAAAATATATTCATTGCTACCCTGTCTATTTGTGGGTAAAGTTTACCATCAAAAGAAAAAACAGCCCCATGTAGTAATCTCTAATAACTTAGCAAACGGTTTCCTATTTAAGCCAAAATAATGCACAATGAAATCATATTATTGTGATGTATCTTTGAGAAAATCAGTAGGTGCCATAAGGAGGACTCAAATCCGTTCACTTGGAACTCCCAAGCTGGCGCCCTACACCACTACACCACGACATGGTTAAAAACAATAATCAACCAGGGAGTCGTTTGAATCCACTAAGATTCTGAGGATGATACCCCGGTTAGGCTTCAGTGGAAGCCTCGGGGCCCTCGTAGGTGCAGTAGCACTCCAGGTTGCAATTCTTTTCCATGTCGTGATACAGTTGACTAGAGCGCATCTGGGAACACTCAGCGTATAGGATCATGAAGGCGCCTGTGAATTTGTTCTTTGATATATCACGTTTATTAAAGTGATTTTTCTGTGTATTATTATTATTATTATTATTATTATTATTATTATTATTATTATTATTATTATTATTATTATTATTATTATTATTATTATTATTATTATTATTATTATAGTACTCCTGTTTTGTGTGTAATTAACTATTCTGGGATTTGTACCAGGCAATATTAAACTTGTTTTATTCTCATTTTGGCCCAGGATCGAGATGTGAGTTCTGCATAATATTGATGCAGATGCAAACGCTAATAAATTCATTAAAGCCAAGCTTTATTTCTAACAACTTCTGGACACTCACTTGGAGAACTTGTCTGGGAAGAGCGGGAGGCTGGAGGTGAGAGCGAGGCCTTGGTGGGGCGTCCAGGAGGCCACCTTCAGCGCCTGGGCGCCCCGGGGACTGTACGGAAGGTGAAGGTACACTCCACACCTGTGACATAATATGTTGAGAACCTCTACAGGCACGGTTAAGTCTTATATATTATAATATACAGGTCAGTAGGGAAGGTATTGCATCAATATAATCGTAATAAAACTATTATGACAGATAAATGGTGTAGCAGAGGCATTACACTGAGAGAGATCGCTTATAATGGAAGTGATGTAATATTAGAGCACGGGGTGCAGTGAAGAGGGTATACTGATAAAGGTCTTGAATTAGAATTATATATCGATGGAGTTCCTGTGAGGTTATTAAGTTCACTAGTAATATTTGTGTTGAAAGTATGCAATATGCAGAGTCAATTATCCTTTCTTCAGTTTAAATGTATAATATTATTAATGTTGAGTCTTGGAGCTATACGAGAGTTTTCCAAAAGAATGCTTAACATGTATTTTATATAAAAAAAAGTTGTTAAATGAAGATAAATAAATTTAATGCTGACCATTGGGATTTTTTCGAGTTTACTGAAACGAGCATGACGGCGTTCATCTTGGAGTAGGTCCTGCTGAGGTCCGGATTATTGACCAAGGAAGCGTTGGTGACAGCGAGGAGCCTGGTTGCTGGACCCACCAAGCGGCCCTTGAGGGACCACTGGGCGAAGGCGGCGAGGAAGGCGAGGTCGTCGCTCACCACCACCACCGTCACGCACCACGACACCTGCCGCAGCTGTTGATGTTAACATGGTAGACGTTATGTGGGAGTGACCTGCCCGCCTCAGTAGTGATGTGAGAGTGACCTGTTTGCCTCAGTAGTGGTGTGAGAGTGACCTGCCTGCCTCAGTAGTGGTGTGAGAGTGACCTGCCTGCCTCAGTAGTGATGTGGAAGTCACCTGCCCGTCTTAGTAGTGATGTGAGAGTGACCTGCCTGCCTCAGTAGTAATGTGAGAGTGACTTGCCCGCCTCAGTAGTAGTGTGAGAGTGACCTGCCCGCCTCAGTAGTGGTGTGAGAGTGACCTGCCTGCCTCAGTAGTGATGTGAGAGTGACCTGCCCGTCTTAGTAGTGATGTGAGAGTGACCTGTATGCCACAGTAGTGGTGTGAGAGTGACCTGCCCGCCTCAGTAGTGATGTGAGAGTGACCTGCCTGCCTCAGTAGTGATGTGGAAGTCACCTGCCCGTCTTAGTAGTGATGTGAGAGTGACCTGCCCGTCTTAGTAGTGATGTGAGAGTGACCTGTATGCCACAGTAGTGGTATGTGAGTGACCTGCCTGCCTCAGTAGTGATGTGAGAGTGACTTGCCCGCCTCAGTAGTGGTGTGAGAGTGACCTGCCTGCCTCAGTAGTGATGTGAGAGTGACTTGCCCGCCTCAGTAGTGGTGTGAGAGTGACCTGCCCGCCTCAGTAGTGGTGTGAGAGTGACCTGCCCGCCTCAGTAGTGGTGTGAGAGTGACCTGCCCGCCTCAGTAGTGGTGTGAGAGTGACCTGCCTGCCTCAGTAGTGGTGTGAGAATGACCTGCCAGCCTCAGTAGTGATGTGAGAGTGACTTGCCCGCCACAGTAGTGGTGTGAGAGTGACCTGCCCGCCTCAGTAGTGGTGTGAGAGTGACCTGCCTGCCTCAGTAGTGATGTGAGAGTGACTTGCCCGCCTCAGTAGTGGTGTGAGAGTGACCTGCCCGCCTCAGTAGTGGTGTGAGAGTGACCTGCCCGCCTCAGTAGTGGTGTGAGAGTGACCTGCCCGCCTCAGTAGTGGTGTGAGAGTGACCTGCCTGCCTCAGTAGTGGTGTGAGAATGACCTGCCAGCCTCAGTAGTGATGTGAGAGTGACTTGCCCGCCACAATAGTGGTATGAGAGTGACCTGCCCGCCTCAGTAGTGGTGTGAGAGTGACCTGCCCGCCTCAGTACTGGTGTGAGAGTGACCTGCCTGCCTCAGTAGTGGTGTGAGAATGACCTGCCTGTGTTAACATTAATGTGGGAGTTACCAATCCACATCAAACGTAATGTTAGAGTTACTTACCTGTGTCAGAAGTAAAATAATAGTGACTTGCTAACACCAGATATGATATGATAGTGACTTATTAACACCAGAAGTAATTTGATAGTGAGCTACGAACACCTGAAATAATATGATAGTGACCAACTAACACCTGAAGTAATATGATAGTGACCTACTAACACCTGAAGTAATTTGATAGTGACCTACTAACACCTGAAGTAATATGACAGTGACTTATTAACGCCAGAAGTAATTTGATAGTGACCTATTAACGCCAGA